TGAAACCAAAAGGGTCTATTTCGATCACGATTATGCACCCGATGTTCTTCAGAAACGGCTGGAGCACAAAGAAATAAAAAAGACGCTGAAAGAAAATGACATCAAGTTTAAAACCCCTTTTCCAGCTAAACTAAAGGTTTTTTTCGACTCGGGAGTCCAAACTCTACAGTATGAAGGACTTTATACGCCGAGGACTGATTGCGGGTGCGGCCGGAGCTGTGACTGCAGCGAGGTCCGCGGAGGAGCGGATTAGACAAAGATCACGGCAGCAAGCGCACAACCGCAGGAGGAGACACTGACAGAGGAGCAGTTCAAGACATTCCAGGCTTTCCACTGCCGAACTTCACCAGATGACCTGGAATGTATTTCTTGCCTCTGGACTAAAGTATCTGTTGTTCTATTGGATTAATTTCATAATTCACCCCCTTTATTCCCTTCAAAAAGGGAATTCCCTTCTAAAATCCTCATGCTCACCTATAAGGCTCTGCATGGCTTGGCACCTCAGTACCTGTCTGAACTATTATCAGCCTTCTTCCCACCTCGCAACCTTCACTCTTCTAATTCTGCTCTCCTTACCGTCCCCCAAGCCTGTCTACATTGTATGGGTGACAGGGCCTTTTCCATCTTATCCCCCCAAGCTCTGGAACTCTCTCCCCAAGGATATCAGAGAGACGCCTTCAAATCCAGACTCAAAACCCTCTTCTTCAGAAAAGCCTTTACTTAACTGGTTCCATTCTTCACTCCTCTGCTTTTCCTAGTACCACCATCAACGGCCTCCTCTATATATTGTAATTATGTTTTATCTTGTGTATTCTTCTTATTTATTGTTGTTGTCATCCTGTAAAGCGCTTGGAGAAGCCACCTTTTAAAGGTGCTATATAAAATAAAGACATTTATGGGACTATTTGTGTTTTGTAATATAAGTTTGGTTGATGTGGATAATTGACTTGATTTTGTAAATTAACATTTAATATAATTTCATTTTTTTTATGATAAAAACTGCCTCGTTAAATAAGGTAGAATAGGTTAGAGACCGAGAGTAGCAATTAGAAACTGTAGTTCAGGTGGGTAGCTGTGTCAGCATGCGTAGTCTACAAAGGAACAAGTAATACAGTAGGTTTATTCCATGCTGAAAAGAGAAGAGAGAACACACAACGTTTTGGCTGTGAAGCCTTCTACAAGTGTGAGAAAGACAGGGCAGACAGCAAAGAATAAATAACACAGAAGAACAAAACCTGGTAGAGGGGAGGAGGCAGGAGGGGCAGAGGGGCCACTCAGGAAGTGCGAAGTGCAGAAGGGTGAAGAAAGGTGTGAAGTCAAACCCTGCATGAGACTAGAGAAGATTACATGAAAATAAGTTGGTCATTGAGAGAAGGGGGATGGTGTGAACCGAGTTTCGTTTCTGTTGTTTTTCTGCTATGGGAGTTGAGGAAACCCTTCTTTGAGAACAGAGACAGGGAGATCAGTGTCATCATGGCCGTCTGAGGTGAAATGAGAAACTATGGGCTTGGAGAAATCTTTCATCTTCACAGCCCGAACATGTTCTCTGAAGCAGTCTCCTAGTCTCCTTCTGGTTTCCCCAACATAGATAGCTAGGCATTTTTTGCAGGAGATACAGTAAATGAGGTTGCTGGAGGTACAGGATGTCGTCTGTGTGATCCGGAATTGACCTGAGGGGCCCTGAATGAGCGTGTTGTTAGATATGTATTTGCAGGTAATGCAGCGAGTTCTGTTGCAGAGGAAGGTGCCTTGTGGGGACGATTGCCGAGTGCGGTCAAGGGAGCTGAGAACCAGAAGTCATTTTATCTCTCCACTGAGACCTGATTTCAGTTTTTGAGAGAATATACAGTATAGTACAGTATTTCTGTGTGGACTATTTTGTTGTTTGTTGTGTTTCTCATTAGACAATTGTATTTTCTTGTATACCCCCCCATTATGAACATAATGTAACAAAAATGAAAGATGAAGGCAAATCTTCATATTGCTGTTAGGACGTGTTCTGTTTGTAAATCTTTTCATCACTAAATAAAGCGTTAAAAAAACTCAGATGTGTAGGCCGTCTGTACTGCAATGCAGTTTGATCTTCCTGTGGTCAAGGTTTCTCAGAAGTGGAATGTACCTGTTTTGCAGCCAGAAGGACACCAATCAAACAGGAAGTTATCGATGGTCAGAGATAAGGAGCCCTGAAGATTAAAATGGCGTGTCTCTTTCTTCATCTTGTTCTTTTTTGTGTTTCCCTCCTTGGTAAGAATATACTGTATCAGATCTGTCTCAGTAGTTTTATTCTGAGAGTACAGTACAGAAAACCATTTCATATAGTGATAGAATAGCAATAGCAGGTCTTCAATCGATGTTCTCTGAAGGAGAAACAGCATATTAAGCAATCACTAGCATATTACTTATACACCGATTCTGTAAACTGCTAGCAGTAACCAAGTGCATTAACTGTATTTTACTGTTTTACATAGAAAGAATGAGTGCATTGTGAAATAAATCTAGTTCTGAGTGTTTTCATTAGGGATTGGAGCATTGTACAGTAGCTTCAAGGGTAGTAGTCAGACATGACTTCTCTGTTATAGCAGAATCTGTTTCAGGCCTGAGATAAATACAAATATAAAATAATTGTTATTTATTGCCCCTGTTCCTGCTTTACAGTTATTGATGGCCTGTCAGCGGTGAGAGAGGTAAGGGGCAGAAAAGGAGGATCAGTAAGTGTTCAGTGTCATTATGGGCTCACACAAAAATACTATGCAAAATACTGGTGTAAAGGGAAGTTCTGGAGTAGCTGCAGCACTATGTTGCAGACAGGATCTCGTGCAGCTAGTGATAAAGTGTCTATTAGTGATGACAAAACACGTGGAATATTCACCGTTACAATGAGCCACCTGGAGAAAAAGGATGAAGCCTGGTATTGGTGTGGAATAAAAAGAGGACACAACAAAGCCAATGATGAAATGTTCTATCTATACCTCTATGTGGATGAAGGTAAGCAGCACTTCACAATCACATCTATTTTAATATGAGCAAATGGCATTTAATTTTTTTATTAAATGATTGTTGCATACATTTAAAATGTGTGGATTGGAAGGATTCTCCATGGTTTTTTTTTAATTGTTTGAATTGTATGAACATTCTTACAGCTCTGAGGGAATCAAAAGCATTAATTATGCCACTATTGGGGATCCTTTCCAGTTTCATAACTGTGCATTTCAAATTTCCTAGTTTTAAACACCAGCAGGGTAATAATTTATTTTTAAAGCTTTTAATTAGAAATTTAGCTGTCTGCAATAAGAAAATCTGTTTATTGTGAGATCAAACAAGAAGATTTTTGTCCAAATTTGCAAAGGTACAATTTTAGCAGTTACTTCAATTACTATACTCTAACTTTTTCTTGAGATTTGGCTGGATGAGGGTTCTCTTTGGGCAGCTTTTATGTCATAGTAAGGGTGACTTTTAGTATTATATTTAAGGCTATATAATGTACAATAATATTCCTAGGGTCACAGATATCACAAAAGAGGTTTGAGGAGAACAAATAAAAAACGTACACTTATTTTCTCTACTTTGTTTATTAATGAAATTAAGAGAAATAAATGAAAAATTAAATTATAGAAAAATATAATGAGACTCAGTAAAGTACTGCATTTTTACATCAGTAGTAGTGAGAAATGGACTGAAACTGCAATTATTTTAACTTGCAAAACAAATCCCTTATACATTTTGAAGGATTGCACTATTTTGTGATTTCCATTTTATTTTCAAGCAAAAACAACACCTAAACCACCTGCAACAACAAAGCCACTAGTTCCTGCCACTGTGTCCATTGTAAGCACTCCCAGATCAGCAGCAGCAGCAGATCCACCTTCTACAGAGTCCAGCAGCACAGAGCTCATCACACACAGCCAAGAGCCAACTGCAATCCGAAGATTTTGCAGGTTATAGACTAAATGGAAATTCAGTTAAAATAATTAGAACAATATAGTATTGTAAAATAGGGTGTTCTGTTGTATGCTGAAATGTTTGCATATAAAGGTGTCCATTTCTGAGGACAGATGTATTCTGGTGTAAATCTGTGGAGCAGAGTGCAAGTGCAAGTAAACAAGTCAAGCTACAAACAACATAGGGATAAAATCAGCGTCAGTGTTATTTAATTTCATTGTTTTGAATGTTGTTTAATAAATCTACTTTCATTTTGAAGTGTTAATGAAGAGTAAACTGGAAGAGAATTAAGGTACTCTAGACTGACACTGATCCAACCTGGCTGGTTTGAATCAGAGCAAGTAGGAGGTAACTGAAGTTTGGAGTAAAGAGAGAGTCTAATAGAGAAAACTGTGATAATCCCAATTAACTTCTAACTTCGTCCATTTAAGAGT